GGTAGTGGTAGTGGTAGTGGTAGTGGTAGTGGTAGTGGTAGTGGTAGTGGTAGTGGTAGTGGTAGTGGTAGTGGTAGTTGTAGTGGTAGTTGTAGTGGTAGTGGTAGTGGTAGTGGTAGCGGTGGTGGTAGTAGTAGTAGTAGTAGTAGTAGTAGTAGTAGGAGTAGGAGTAGTAGTAGTAGTAGTAGTAGTAGTAGTAGTAGTCGTAGTAGTGGTGGTAGCAGTAGTAGTAAGTACTACTGTAGCAGTAAGGCGATAGCCGACCCCACCAACTATTGGAGAATTGGAGGGGTGAGCCTCCGAGCGAGTGTACTACAAGCACACTTGAGCGTCTGGCTTGCAGCCCTTTCCTCCAAACGAGTGTGCCCACGCAAACCACGCATGCATGCATCCCACAATCCCCTCTACAAAAACTCTGTCAGAGAATGGCAACAACCCTCAAGGCCGTAAACTCCAAAATGGTTTTTAGTGTCTCCTTGCACTGATGCCGCAATGCCCGTTGTCACATCGAGAAGCCACGCGAAGAGGTCTCCCCGCAGCTCGGCTCGAAATTGCACCTTGGAGGCGACTTGCGCTATACCCACGACAAGCTTCGAGGTTAAGGGGTCCGGGGACGGGGATCCTCTCATCATTTCGGTTCATATGCGCCCAGATGGGGGTTTCCGAAAATAGGGGACCCTATTATAGTACCTTAAATAGTAGGATCCTTATTATAAGGATCCCCAAATAAGGTACCCTGATTTTCGGAAACTCCCAAATATCTAGTGATCTTATGCCGGTTCTTAGCATTCAGGCTCCCTCCAAACCCTAAACTCTCCAAGCCCAGACCCTATCCTTTACGCTTTGGGGTTTGGGAGCCTACTTGTTTTGGGGGGCCGGGTTGATCTATACTAGACCTATATGGCATGCGGACTATGATGGGATGATACTACTAATTTGTAAGGCTCCTGTCTCCTGTGTTCCGTCGCCCTAATCCCTGAAACCTGATCAAGGCAAAAACCTTCCCAACTGGTAAAGTCTTAATAACTTGGCCCCTAAACCCTAAACCCTAAACCCTAAACCCTAAACCCTAAACCCTATAAATCCTAAACCCTACAGCTCTCTCGAAGCACCGAGCCGCAACTGGGTTCGAGGGGTCGAACCAGGAGCCGTGGATTTCGTTGATGGCCTCTCTTGCTGAGTTTAAGGGGTTTAAGGTGGTTTTGTAAAAGAATGCAATGGTCCCCTTTCTCTCGCAAGAGGTCTGAAGACTCGCTCCGTAGAGTTTTTAAGGTTTAGGGTTTAGGGTTTGGGGTCTGGTGTTTAGGGTTTAGGGCTTTCGTTCTGCCCTAAACCCTAAACCCTAAACCCAAAACCCTAATGTGACTGAGGCCTTGAGGGTTTCGGTGCATCGGATTTCGCCGAAACTAGAAAGCTGCAACAAATCGAATGCCTGAACCCTGCGGTGACAGAGAACTTCGGTAGATTCTCTTGACTGTCGGCACCCTACAACCTTAAGGCAAACCGTTGATTTTCAGGGAAGAATCCCGAAGAATTGAGCTCTCCATACTGCAGTCAGCAATTTTCGTAAGACGGAATCCTCAACAATGCTAGGCCAGCCACCCTAAAGTCAAAGCCAGAAAGTTGGAACATCATTCTCCTCATGCCCTCAAGGTAAGGTATAGGTGATCCCAGCACTAATCATCCTAAATCCATGCTCCGACCTTCTGGGATTCACAATAAACCCTGCAGATTCACGCAGCTCCCACCGCGAGCCTCCTGGGGTAGACCTGCCTGGAAGCTGTGGCAAAAAACTCGCATAGAGGGTGTAGGGTTCCTTATCGCTTTGGTTTGCGCTGGACCGGTTTAGATGATCATAGTGATATGATCAGACACAAAAAAGTGTCGATCTTCTAGCACCACTTTGCTTACTGCGACACTGCTGCTGCTGATCCTTCCCGCACTCCTGCTCATTTAGGCTTGCTTCTACTGCTACTGCTACTCCTCCTCGTGTCCTCCACCTCCTCCTGCTGCTCCTGCTCAAATTCTGCTACTGTTACAATTGCGACCACCATTGCGATCGTTACTACTACTACTACTACTCCTCCTCCTCCTCCTACTACTACTGGTGCTACTACTAGCACTGCTATTACTGCAACGACTGCTACTGCTGCTGCTGCCGCAACTGCTACTACTGCTACAACTGATACTGCTGCTGCTGATGCTGCTGCAACTACTACTACAATTACTACTATCACTACCACTACCACTACGACGACTACTACTGCCACTACTACTACTACTACTACTACTACTACTACTATTGCGTTGATTAGGTGGTTGTCGTTGCATAGGGACCCGCCTCGACGAGATCACTATTGAAAACCATACAGCACACGTGGACCTCTT